ATGCAAAAGGCATACCACAAGAATAAAATGGAGTACCGAAGAGCTGCTCATTCAGCTAATAACATCTAACCTGCACGCTGCATGAGACACAGGTCACATGGAAAAACAATGCTGGGGCACCTCAAATGACTACTGTAATACCAGAATTTAGGACCTAAACTTACATCACAGCCTACACTCAGTTCTCATTTGATATTTTAGCTCTTTGGAGAGTCAAAGGAAGGAGAAGTGCTGAAGAGAGGACTCTCTTTACATTGCACTCCCTGAAACTGGTGGTCAGCCCTCTGGATTAGGGTTGCCAACTCCGAATCTATTCCTGGAGGTTTATCACATGATGTAATGACATTAATGATCCATTGCCTCAGGAAAGCAAATGCACAGTACTATTACATTTAAAAAACTCACTGGACTACTGTATAAATTGGATTCAACATTTAACATTTATTTTAATGAATGCCCTATCATTTATCTCCCGGGTGACTCTCAGCAGTCTCCTGGAGATTTATATCTAAGTAGCAAATTGCCCATCATGAATGATGGGGTGGAGGTAAGTGGGGACAAAGCCCTGCATCCAGCTCCGTGCTCCCCCAAAGTCTGTTCCGGATCCAGCCCCGTTCCCTCCCTCTCCTCACTACTCTGGGTCTGGCCCTGCTCTGCCCCCTGCATCTGACCCTGATTTCCCCCCATTCCGAGTCTGACGCCATCCCCCCCCCCTCCCCGCTCCAGGTTTGACCCTGCAAAGAGAGCTTTGCAACCTTATTGAAGTGCTTTCAGAGTGTGTGGTATCTTTTATGTGAAAGGAGTGCAGGCAAGTCTCTTTGAGTAGATGTGCTATCTTTTATTAGACTGAAGAGTTGGAAAAAGGTTCTTAGCAGGCTCTCGGGTGCAAGCACCCTTCTTCAGGCATAGGAAGCCTCTACTGCTCTGTGAACTGGGGGTTATTTGTAACTAATACCGAAGGTAGAAACTAGCCCGAAGGACTTGGGGGTGGGAGCCCACAGGCTCAGGTCCTGTGGCGTTTCTCCTGCACACACTCCCTCACCCTGGCTGAACCAGGCAGCTCCACCCATGGCTCCGGGCTCTCCCCCAAGCAGGGCAGTATCTCAGACCCGGTGCGCGAGCCCGGGCTGGGCTGGAGCAGCTTCCCGGCCCTCAGCTCCGCCCTGTGGCGTAACAAGCACAGGGCTGGGCCTGACTGGACCTTTCCCCCGCTGGGCTCGGGCAGCCCCGGGAGCGGCGCCAGGGCCTCCCCCGGCTGGAAAGCACCGGGATGAAGGGAGCCGCGCGTGGGCCGGGCTGCAGGCGCTGCCCTCGCCGCGGTGCTGGCGCCTCTGACTTGCCCCGGGGGGCGCGGCGGGTGTTTCCCAGGCGGCTCCCACCGAGCGCGCGCGGTGCAGCCTCCGGAGCATCACATGGCCCATGAGCCGGCAGCCAAGGACCCGGCCACGCCCGCCGCCCACCCGCGCTGACGGCGCTCCCGCCTGGGCGGGAAGGCAGCACGGCTCTCCCCGCCCCGCGCGGGGAAAGCAAGAGGGGAACCTCGGCCGCGCCGCGGGGGGCTGCTGCTACTGCTGCTCCTCCTCCTCCCGCAGGAGCGTGCAGGCCCCTTACCAGCTCGCGCTACAGCTGCCCCGGCCCTAGTACTCCACGTGCAAAGGCGCGCGCCGCTCTGCCCCCCAGGGCGAGCCCGCGCCTCGCTTCCACCCCCCGACTCCGCTGCCTTATACAGGGGCAGCGCAAAAGGTCGTGCGCAAGGACTTTACGAAGACCCTGTACAAACGTGGCGTGTTGGTTACTGGAGAGACTGCTGCCCACTTTAAGGCTCTTCGTCATACTTCACACAATTATGCACGTGCATCCCGAAGTCACACTGTTGGGAAGCGAAAGGGTCGCATTATTCACCAGGCTGCTCCTTCCCTGCAGGGCCTTAATAGGCAGAGCTAGCGGTATGGACAGTCATATGGCTCTTGCTCTGAGTGAGTGGATAGTCAGAACAGAGATGTAGGCAACTGCGACAGGGGTAGCAACCGCTTTTAATCACCTACCTGGGTAAAGATTAATGTGTACGAACATGTTAGCTAAGCAAATAATTGTCTGCTGGCATGTTAGCAAATAATCTGCTGAGTAGATTAACATGCTAACATTAACAGATACAAATACTAACATGTTAAATACACAAACACATTATAGATTTATTAACCATTTATTAACACAAGTTTATATGATACACACCTAGGAATAATGTAGTCACTACAGAAAGACTTGGCTCCAACCTGGTTTAACCACTTCATAAAAAAAAGTTACATATATGTAAAAAAAAATAAAATAAAAAAATTGTTGCATGTAATAAATCATAATCTCAGGCTCTATGTCAAAGAGCAATATACATCCTCAGCAAACAGCACTGAGTCAGAGGAAGGGCAGACTGAGGTGCTCTGGCTCAGAATTTTTTTTGTTTTTTTTTTTTTAATTAAAAATAAAAATATTTTTATTTTTATTTTTATTTTGCAGCTGTACAGGTTTCCCTTTGCTTTATGCAGGTTCTGTATGTGTAAATTTGCTCTTATGCAATGACCTTTTTAAGACCAAAAATTCATTATAGACGAGGTAAATTCAGTCTTATGTGAGTAGTGTTGCGGAAGCCTGCAGTCAGCTGCTTCGTCCCACACATTGTGGGAGTAATACACATCAAAATATAGGCACCTGTGTGGATCTGTGCTCCTCTCTCATTGTCTGCAGCTTGTCTGTTGTTGCCATCCCCATTATTATAACATTCACCACCGCCCTGTGCTTGTGTATACTACACTGTCTTGTAAAGAGTGGCAGAAATGGGGCTAGGTAGGGGTCAGTAGAGTCAAGATCTTGGAACATATCCCTTTTTGTTACATTGTAAAGTGGGTTGCCTTTATGCAAATTTGAGTTATGCACCATTTTTCCCCACATGTACAGGATAAAGCAAGGGAAACCTGTAGTTTTTTTCTGGTGTAGACCACACACATGCATTCTCCCCACTACAGTGAAAATAACACTATCTGCATAATTAGCTAGTCAGTTATCTACCTTACCCAAAACCATCGCAAGATATAGAGGCAAGCTCAGCACTATCTTAAAATGAAAAATTTAAAATTGCACTTGCTTTGGCAAATTAAGACATGGAATTTCCAGCTTTAAAGCTTGAATAGCTTTTCACACCATGCTGCAGTCACCGTGCCATCTTCACCCCTCCTAAAAAATGCAAGCACTTGAAGTGGATAGCAAGAGAAGCACAAAGCAAGCAAGGAAGCAATGAATTACAGGAAACTGTTGATATGGGAACCCACTCATGCACCTCCATTCTGTTTACAAGGGCAGTCCCTTGCATTGCCAGTTAGTCCAACATGCAGATAATTAGATCTATACTTGAGTAGAAAGCACAAGGTGAAATTACTGTAAGTGTTCTATTTAGAGAGCTGTTTAGTTCTTACTCTTAATGTTGATCAAATATTAAATTCAGTCTTCAGAAGCAAAGGAAAATTATCTCCTGAGACAGCCAGAGTATTGGATAGCATTACGGCAGTAGTGCTCTTGTGCAACTTCCAAAAGACGACTCCAGAACAGGGAGGCAGAAGCTTGGTCCAAAACCCAGAGGTGATGTTTAAGTTTAGGATATAGTCAGAGATGGGGAGAAAAAAAAAAAAAAAGTGGGCTTCCAAGGGAGGTGGTGCTCTCCTCTACCCAGGGGGTGTCTTCAAGAGGAGACTGGACAAGCACCTAGCTTGGAGAAGCTTTCCTGCCCAGGGCAGAGGGTCAAACTCAAAGACCTAATGAGGTCCCTTCCAGCCCTAACATCTATGAATATACATGTTTCTGCCTGTGCAAGATTATAAATCCCAGTCACCATGTTCCTTAAATATGGATATGCAGATCAATAAAAATGGCACTAACTGCTTAAAGGCATTTAAAAACAAAAAGTAAACTGGAGGTGGTTAAAGAGATGGACTGCAAAGTAAGAATGAAGACTGAGCTAGAGACAGTGTGCATTAAGGGTGCAGCAGATGACTTGCCTAGCAAAAGTCCTCCTTACTTCCTGAAGATCCTTCTGGCACTACTACCTACCAGGGTAGGACTTTTAGAAGGGGTTTCTCCCCACCCCCTCTTCAGTTTAAGGCATTAAATGGTTGACTATGCCATTTAGTAGATCTATACAATTAAGAGAACTAGAGAGGTTTCATAGACATTAGGGCTGGAAGGGAAGAAGATTGAGCCCAGCCCCCTGCCTCAGGGGCAGGAAGTTAGCTGGGGGTCAAAGGATCCCAGCAAGATAAACATCCAAATGTTTCTTAAAAAGGAGTCCAGAGTAGGTGTTTGCAGTTATTCCTCATGTCCAGCCTGAAACAGTCTTGGAGGAGTTTGTGACTGTTTGACCTTGTCATCCCTTGGGGTGCTCTGATGAACAGGCATTTCCCTAGATCCTGATGTACACCCCTTATATTATTTATAGGCAGCCACCAGGTCCCCCCTGAGCCTGCGCTTTTCCAGGCTGAAGAGTCTCATAGCTCTCAGCCTCTCATCACAGGGCATGTTCTCCTGCCCTCTGATCATGCGTGTGGCTCTCCTCTGGACTCCCTCAAGCTTCTCCACATCCGTTTTAAAATTGTGGAGCCCAGAATTGGATGCAGTACTCCAGATGTGTCCTTACCAAGGCCAAGTACAGCAGGAGGATGACATCCTGGAATTTGCTTGAGAAGCATCTATGGATGCAAGCCAAAGTTGCTTGCTTTACCAGCTGCGACATCGCATTGGTGGCTCATATTCATCTTGTGGTCAATCATGGACACCCAAGTCCCTTTTGGCCATGGTGCTAAAAAGTGTAGCACTGCTGAGCCTGTAAGTGTGCTGCAGGTTCCCCCCACCCCACAAGGTGCAGTACCTTGTATTTGTCCATGTTGAATGCCATCAGATTTTCACCTGCCCATTTTCTGAGCCAGTTGAGGCTGGCCTGGATCACCAGCCTATCCTCAGGGGTGGACACTTTACCCCAAAGTTTGGTGTCATTGGCAAACTTGACCAGTCTGCTTCCGATACCAATGTCTACATCATTAATAAAGATGCTAAAGAGCATAGGCCGAAGGATGGAGCCTTGGAGAACTCCACTGGTCACAGTGCACCAGGATGTTTTCCTTCCATCAATTACCACTCTCTGGGTCTGACCTTGGAGCCAGTTCCCCACCCATCGGACTGTGATGTGGCCAAGGCCGCAGTTGGCCAATTTTTCCATGAGGAGATCATGGGACACTAGGTTTTATATTTCCTTTGCAGTTTGTCTTAGTCACCTTGAAATTACTTGTAATTTCTTCAGATTCATGAATCTTCAGTTGTTTTTCAGATTGAAAGCCAGATGTTTGTTGTACAATACACATCCTATTTCACACAGATTTGACAATTTAAAAACATTACAAAAAAGCTGAGGTAGCTATACTGATGAAGTTACTTGGAAGCATGGTTCTATTTGGAAGATTACTAAAAATACTTGTAGGCTCTGTGATTATTTCTTGATTTAATAAAAAAGGTATATAGTTGAAACTTCTACAAGACAGATGAAAGTCAAGTTGCTGATCAGCAGGTCAGAGAATACTTTAATTCAAATACTAGGGAAGCTAACAGCTGGAGAGAACCACCTTGTTGGACTAATAAAATTTTAAAAATCAGGAAGCCAAGATAAAATTATGGGATCCCAATACCATTTTATAAACATTTCTTAAATCTAACATGCATGAAGCACACTGAAACCTAGCATAAAAATCTTAAAAGCTTAAAAAAAATATTAAAGTTCTTCTAAACTGAACTTTGTTCTCCAAGTTTATGTGCATACAATAAGAAAGCAAGAACCTTACAAAAATGCTTATTTCTTTCCAGTTCTTCCTCCACATCCTTGCCATCTCATTCATTAATGATTCATCTGCATACTTGAGTGAAATAAACATCCAAATTGAAATTAATCCAAACACAAAAAACAAACAACAAACCCAAAACAAAAACAAAACAAAAAAAACCCTTTACAATTCTTAAGGATCCATCTCTGTCTGTGGATGTATCCGCTATCTGGAGGCTGAACTGGTACCTCCACCATTAATATACACTTGGACAAATGTAGGGATTTGTACTATTAGGTACAACCTGCTGCACCATAGATGTTACTTTACAATGAAGACACATTGCAAAAAGTGAGATTTTATTTTAAACAGTCTTGTGAGTAGTAAAGGATTGATCAAGCTATTTATGTTCCTGGTTACCAACTCATTAAAACTGTTACTGAAGTCAAACTAACGTAGTAACTACAAAATTAGAATTCTATTCAATGCAGAAAGGTATTGCATATATCCTACATAAAGAAACAGACTGAAGAGAGTCAAGTTTTCAAATTTCTCTTTGAAAAAGATGGTATCTTACAGTACATACAAAAATACTCTGAAAATACATACAACCTCATTTACAAAACAGCGAATTAAACATTATGATAGAAATAACAGTTATGCAGGAACTGAATCCCTCCCCACTCCCCAAAATGTAAGCATATTAAATGGGTACCAGTTATTATGAAAAATTGCATAATAACTTGTTTACATTGAGACCGATGATGGTCCTAAAGCAATTAATTTCCAGCTACTCTGAAAACCTGCTGTTGGGTTTTATTGAAACCCTAATACACATTTCAGCATGTTTAGATCGTGGAAGCTTCTTGAAACTGTAGAATAGCGGGACAGCAAATGTCCTGACAAGTTTATGCATTTTGAGTGATTTAAAATTTGCTGTAGTTCTGGAATTTGTTTGTTTCACTATCTTGGGGGGGGGGGGGGGGGGGGGGGGAAGAGGGAGGAGGAAATAGAGGACAAATTGTTTGGAAGCATCTTAAGAACCAAGTTACACTATATAATACATGCCTCCCATTTCAGTTTCTTTAACCACTGGGGTTTTAATGGTTGAATTTTGATTTGGGGGGTTGTTTTTTTTTGTGTTTTTTTTTTGTTTTGTCTTTTTGGGGGGGTGTTTGTTTGTTTTTTTGTTTGTTTTTTTTTTTTTAAACATTTGGGCCTCCATGGGAGGCAGAACATAAAACTTGTGTAGTGCATGGCTATGTGTTTAATACTGAAAAGCAACTGCCTGTAGAAGCCAAGTACCACTGGTGACAGATGCACAGGACAATATGCACCAAATAGGAAAAAAAATCCAGATTACAAGTATATCTACACAAAATTAGGAGAAGAGGAAAAAAAAAAAAAAAAAAAAAAAGGTATCAGCACTTTCATATACATTTCAAACCAGAACGTGGCTCCAGTGGGCTAACAGAACATATTTATGTAGGAATTATTCTAAACCTTAAGTCACAGGAAGGAGTTTTTTGGGGGTTTTTTTTTGGCTTTTTCTACAGTTTAACAAGTAGAGACTGTTAAACAAAGCTTTTTAAAAGAGTAATAAGGACTGCTGTCGCAAGGGTGTTCAAAATGAGAAGTAAACCCAGGAGAAACAAGCATGTAAACTAGAGAATTAAAAACCTCAGAGGCCATGATTCTGTAGATAGTGGCTTGTCAGCAGGCAATCTTGGAAAAGCTACACAGTAATGGAAGTATACTACAGCATCTGCAGGTCAAAGTGTAGACAAAAAAATTGTAACTAGGTAATGTTTCCAATATGGTGATAACTCTCCACATACCTTTATAAGAGACTGCAACTACACTAAGAATTGGTTGTTTATGGAGCCATTGAACAATTGCATATTATCTTTACCTGAAGAGGCACAGCAATCACCGGTTAAGTGTTAGTCTGATGGACTTTTTAATGATGCGAACGTTATTTGTAGGAACAGGAGAGGATAAGTCAGGTAATTCTCTACTGGGAAGTCTCTGCAATAGAAAAAAATGAAACAGAGCAGGGAAGCACAAAGTTTGTCTGGTAGAAAAAACAACTTCTTCAGCTAAATATACATAAACCCCAAGCCCTACATCAAACCAAGATGCTTGAAAGGTAAATGGTCCCACAACCTCACCTGTTAGGCCTCTAACACATTTGCAAGCAAAGCTGCTGGTTTTCACTGTGGTGGTGCTTAAGAGAACCTAGAGAAAAGGCATCACTCCCCCCTGTAATCTCTACCCTCAAAAGTTTTTACTACACTGAGCAAAAGGTGTAGGAAGGAACAAAGAACATGAGTAAAGAAAGAAAAAGAAAAGTGCTGCTCAAAAGCATCTGGGCACTCTAATCTCTTCTGGTCCAGGAAGAGGCAGGTATTTATTTTCAAATTTACTATTCTACTTCATGCTGCATCTTTGTTATTCCAGCTTTACTTCAAAATTGGAATAAACATTTAAAATAAAAAAACCCCACAACCTGAAGTATAATATGAATTTGCTTCAAGCTTTCGGCACTGAAGTCCTATATTGCACATGTAGTGACTAATACCACATTGAGCTTTTCAAAAGAGCATGATACAAGAGTGAAAATTCTAGTGACAGTGGGCATGTCTACATGAGATGCTAGCTACACAGTAGCCAAATAATACTGTGCAGTGCATCACAACATGAATAGTGCTAATATGCTACTGTGCAGTAGCATTACTAAAAAGGCTATTGCTGGCATTACTGCATATTTATTTAGTACTTGATTATACTAGTACTAAATAAATGTGCAGTAACATCTCGTGTGGATGTGCCCAGTAAGAAGGCAGTTTAAAAAGAAAGGGTTTTTTTTTTTTTTTTTTTGCTTAGTTTCTCTTCTGAAATGCCTGAAACTTGAATGCACAAGACAGATTATACTTTTTGCAAATTCAGAAAGTTTGAATGCCTCTGGCTGCACGCCTAAACCCTGTAGCATGACAGTGTGGGTCTTTGGTCCATGAAGTGTATTCTGAACAGCTGCACTAATCACAGGTGCTCTGTGCAAATGAGAATTTCAGTTAACAGTCACAGATATATGAAAGGAGAAGAGGAAATCAAGTCATATGTATGCAGTTACATTAATGAATGCAGAAAAATATTCTAGTTTTGCTTTACCTGTGAACATAAAGACTTAATAGCTAGTACCTGTGATCTTGATGTGCTGATAGTTGGAATAGGCATGAATTCCCCTCCAAGCTCATCCTTAAAAAAAAAAACCCCAAAAAAATAACCCCAGAAATTTTAGATCTTTGTAAGTGAAGTTCTTTCCTGCAGAAAGCAATATATCAACTTAAGGAATAGATATTAAGTGCCTGCTATATTTATATGGCTAATCCCTCCCAACAGAGTCTTAGCAGCCCCATATCAACACTTTTGAAATATAGAAGACATTTGACTATGTAAAGATAAATAAGAATATTATTTTTAAAAACAAAGCAACACTTATCTTAAGATGTGCCAACTTAATACTTTATCTGTACTTGTTACTATGAATCCACAAGCCTCTTGGAGGAAAGGGTGCAAATGCTTGAGCCTTTAAAAGTTGTTCAAAGTTTAACTGATTGTTTTTAATAATGATGTTGTGGTTGTTTTGCCTCCACTTTAGGCTTCAAGCAAACTCTACGTAGTTTTCCCCCAATCCCTTTTTCTAAAAAAAGTAGAGGCGCAAAAATTTTAAATGTGATACAATAAAGTCCAATAATAATGCTAATAATAATTAAAAAAAAAGTGTTCTGGGAACAGTGTGCCAAATCACAAGAATAGAGAAAGCTTGATAAAAGCAAAAAGACAGGAAGAAAAAGAATTTTCTCCCATTTAACCACAACACAATGAAGTATATTCTTGGTTTATGTTCTTAGTAAAATTTAGATACATTTAGTTAGCCTAGACAAAGTACTCCAAAAACAATGCTTCAGCTTACATTTTTTCCTGTAGATTCTCTCCTTGCATCCTCCTGAGGATTGCCAAGGCTTCTGAATGCCAAGTCCAATCCAATTAACTGGAAGAACAGAATACATGAAAAACCATTTTCATGTTAGTGCTCAGGAACCCTAAAATGCCTTTAGAGGGGTTACAAATTTTGTACAGTTGGAAACAGTTAAGTCTAGCAAAAGCTTTTACTATAAAAATGCAATCAAAGATACAGATCAAGTAGTCGGTCTATCATCATTCATACCTTTAACATGCACTAGAAGTTCTTGCTTCAGAACAGATGACACCTTTTGAATTTCTGAAAAATAAAGCCCTTCCCCCTCCATCTCCAACCCCAGCTCTTTTGTGCCTTTCCATGATACAAAAGGCATACCAAATTGGTAGAGACCAATTAAAAATAGTTAAACACATTAGTGCTCAACTCATGGAAACTGATTCAAGTTTCTACATAAACGGAATTTAACCTGCAACTTAGCATTCCATTGATTTCAGATTCCGATAACCTGCCAGGCATGCCAAATAGATATTTGTAAAAGACTACCTAACAACTGAGGTACTGTATTAAATATAGTGTGGAAATAAGTTAAATTGCCATCATCACAATGTCTTTAGAATGCCATTCTCCACTCCCCCTAAATATTTCCCCTTTGATGGTTATATTAGAAGGCACACACAAAGGCTCAGTTGTGTAACACTAGGATTAATACACTCACATGCCTACCATTTTCAAAAACTTACCTTGGCATTTAATCATTAGTATTTTAATAACGCAATTACTTGCTTTGTCCGCCCCCACCGTTGTATGAGATGAGCTAGGCATCTCACCCTGTGGAATTCTAACTAAACAAAAGAAACTGCTTTTAGAAAGTTTCTTACCTATACTTTGCTTTGGTACTACCAACCTCTATTGGAAGTGGAGAGAAAAGGATTTACTTTAACCAAGCAGCATAATTACTGTAGCTACAAGCTCAAAACCTTTAAAAGTAATTCTATGATCCATATAATATTTGGACACACAACTCTACTCTGAGTTGCATACATGCAACTGTACTCAAGTCTTTTCTACTGAACTACAGAGACGGAGCTCTTTCTGTGCTTCAGAGAACGTTAAGCAAAGTAGACGTCTATAGTGTTTGTGCCCTTTCACTAATAACTTACAATGAAAGCCTGAAAGGGCTTCCCTTTCC